AGTCATACATAAAGCCTCGTGACAGGAAATTTCCTGTGGCTTGTGAATCGATTTTACTTTTAATGGATATGATATCTGCTTTAAACTGATGCACCACGATTTTTATTATTTTATATCATAGCTTATTGTATTTAAGAGGATTTTTCACATTTAAAGTTCCTTATTCAATAGCTTATTAGATTTTTCTGCGTCTTTCTCTCAAAACTGGAATAAGCTCATTCTTTTGAGTAAAACATATTTTTTAACCTTTACTGATAGATGCATTTCTTTCAGTACGAAAGAGAGGAAGAATGGGATTAAATATTAAAGTGATGAAAGTCGATAAAGGGAAAAGCAAATAAGATGAAATAAACGAGAAATCTCACAATGCTTAAGAGGGATTCTCCTCACATTCTCTATTTTCATCAATTTATTTTGACTGCCCATCTTTTCTAGGACATTTTCAACTATAAATGATTCTATGAGAATGCTCAAAAGGGCACTTAAATTACGTAGTTTCTGTACCTGGAAATATCTTCACATTATACATTACTTACCATTTGTCTGACTTTGACTCTTCCCTTCCCAAAAACAATGGCATTTGGTGGCGTAGCTGCCGGCAAGCAGAAGGAGTAGGAAGTCGAGATGGTGATGGGTATGGCCAACAAAAGTGGGTGAATTTCAGCACTCTCTGCCTATCAATATAAAGCAATAAATGTATAATTTGTTAGAATATGTGGCAAATGCACTAAGCTCTGTTTTTCTCTTAATCCTTCTATCAATTCGCTCCTTATTAAATATCATTGTGAAAGCTTCTAGATATATTATGACACAGAATGCTAGGTCTGATTGTCATTAAGAAATCTCAATTTGCTCTTACTTATAAGTCGTCTATCTCACATCTATATCTGATAATGAAAGATCGTTATCACAATTAATGTACTTGAGAGGGCATATAAATTCAACAAGACAAAATGTTTAATGATTTAAAGTTCCTAATTGTAGTAATCATGTAGCATTATGTAATTTATAGTATCTCTCATTTATATGAGCCATGATGAAAAGGACGTCCGACAGAGGAAGGCTGCTAAAAGTTCACTTAATTTTAGATAAGTCAACTTTTATGGTGAAGGCTTGTGAGTGCTTCAATGAGTTTTGTAATCTAAGGAGGTCCAATTTCCCTCTATTTGAGAAGAATCACCCATTGTTTTGTTTTGTTACTAAGACTGTAATCGATCTATTCGACAGCGCGTCACAATAAATTATTAAAGGGCGATAAAACTTGGCATGAACTATTCACATAAAAGAGGTTTTACATCGAGATTGACAGTAATCACAAATATAGTCGAAGCTGAACGTAACATAAAGCATAAAAATAATCTGCTATTTTCGATTTTAACTGATAAAATATCTTATATAGCCGGAGATTCTGATTATGTGGAGTGTTATTACTGATGTATTATGTGAGAATTAAAGCATTTTCCAGCGAATTTCGCCAAGCGTCACTAAATTATCCGGGCGTGGTCGACGTTGCTAGTACCGCCCTTATC